TCTCCAAACTGCGGCATGAGGGCCGGATGCTAGCCTTTATCCGGCCCTTGGGGCACGATTACGAACACTGACACCAAATGTGGGGCATAATTCCTCCAACTGACACCAGCAATGGGACACTATTCTTCCCACTAATATCAATGATAGGGCCCTATTCTATCCACTAACATCAATGATGGGCCAATATTTCTTCTAGTGATAGCAATGATGGGGCACTACTCCTCCTCCTACTGACCACAGGTACTATGCAACTGAACACCACACCTGAGACCTTACTTACTCTCAATGATGTTGGCCCTGAGACTTTTTCTACCCCTGCTGGCCACAATCCGGCCCCCCTAAGTCTGAAGGACAGTAAACTGGCCCTTTGTCTGGAAAGTTTGGAGACCCCTGTCTTAAAGGATAAGTTCACCTTTTGCAAAAAAAATCTTTTTGTAGGTAAAAATATTTGCTTTATTCGTTTTTTACACTGCAGCCTATAAAGTTTTGCACCCCAGATCATCAGATCACGAGTGCAATGCTAGAATTCTACAGATTCTCAGGTACTTGTAGCTCATTCATTCACAGATTTCTGTGAAGGAATGATGCACCCATGTGGGTGGCTGTACTGTCTTTAAATTGTGACAGCAGGGGAGGGGAGGGGAGAGGATCGCTGTCATAGGGAGGAGGGATAGAGGGAGAGGAGGCAGGAGCTGTAACATGTTATTTGTTCCACCCTAAATTCAGTCAGAACACGTACCATGTTCCAAAGGTGTACTTATTTTTTCATGGCAGTCCATTCATGTAACGCAGAGCACATGTGTTGTGGTGTCATTTAGAATAAATGCCGTAGTCATGTGTTACCACAGTAGTGTGAATCTACCCTAAAGGCATTTTATGTGCTCACAGCCCTATCTAGGAAATGCAATATGTACAATTTTAAGAAAATGCCATTTGTTGCAGAGGAGAAAATGTGAAGATGTAAATATATTATGAGTATATTTCCATACTGTAGGACTGTGCAATGGAGTATTCATATACTGTATTTTCAATGTATATACAGGTGTACCTCGGTTTATGAAGTTAATGTGTTTTCCGGGACATTTCGCATTGCGAAAACCAATTAACCACTTGCCTACCAGGCACTTATACCCCCTTATTTACCAGGCCAATTTTCAGCTTTCAGCGCTGCCGCACTTTGATTGACAATTGCGCGGTCATGCAACATTATACCCATATGAAATTTTGATAATTTTTTTCTCACAAATAGAGCTTTCTTTTGGTGGTATTTAATCGCCACTGGGCACTTTACTTTTTGCGCTATAAATTAAAAAAGTGCAAAAAATTTGAAAAAAAAAAAAAAAAGTTTCTTTGTTTCTATTATAAAATTTTTCAAACAGGTAATTTTTCTCCCTCATTGATGTGCATTGATGAAGCAGCACTGATGGGCACTGATAGGCGGCACTGATGGGCACTGATAGGCAGCACTAAAGGGCACTGATAGGCAGTACTAATGAGGTGGCACGGATAGGCGGCACTGATAGGCAGCACTAATGAGGTGTCACGGATAGGCGGCACTAATATGCAGCACTGATAGGCGGCACTGATAGGTGACACTGATGATGGGTACTGATAGACGGCACTGACTGGCATCACTGCTGGGCACTGACTGGCGGCACTGACTGGCACAACCGCTGGGCACTGACTGGTGGCACTGACTGGCAGCACTGCTGGGCTGCACTGGTGGGTGGCACTGGTGGGCAGCACTGGCGGGTGGGCACAGGTGGGTGGCACTGGTGGGCACAGGTGGGTGGGGCACAGGTGGGTGGCACTGCTGGGCACAAGTAGGTGGCACTTCTGGGCACAGGTGTGTGACACTGCAGAGTGGCACAGGTGGGTGCACTGCTGGGCACAGGTGGGTGCACTGCTGGGCACAGGTGGGTGATCTGCTGGGCACAGGTGGGCGGAGCTAGTGGGCTCACTGCTGGGCACAGGTGGGCGGAACTTGTGGGTGGCACTGCTGGCCACCGATCATCAGGGCACTGATCATCAGTGCCCTGATGATCGGTGCCGATCCTCGCTCTGACAACTGCCGGTTCTCGGCAGTACTTTCCTCACGATCTGACAGCGTGAGGAAAGTGCAGCCGAGAACCGGCACTTGCATTTCCCTGTGATCAGCGTGTCATTGGACACCGCTGATCACGTGGTAAAAGGCCGGTATGATTGGCCTTTTACCACATCTCGTGATCAGCTGTGTCCGTAGGACACAGCGATCACGGAGATCGCCGGGTGCGCGCCCCCTGGGGCGCGCAGGAGAGCGCGTTCTGGGGGGACGTCATATGACGTCCACCCAGAACTGGCCGGCCGCAGTGCAGCCGTCATTCGGCTATCTGCGGTCGGCAACTAGTTAATCGGTTCCAGAGGTCAGAAAAAAGTATAAAAAAAGTCGCTGTTACTATAGGTCAGTGCTGGTTTTTAAATTTAATTACCGGCTTTTTTTTTCTTCACCATAGCTCAGAGAATCAGCTGTCACTTTCACCCCAGCTAAAAGAAAGTTTCCTTTTAGTTTATTTCCCCAGTTAAAAGAAGCAATGTTTCCTTTTAGTTTGTTTCCTGAGATAAAAGAAACAAAGTATCCTTTAGCTCCAGAGAAAGTGACAGCTAATTGTATGAGCTATAGTGAAGAAAAAAAAAAGCCGGCAATTGCATTTAAAAATCGGCACTGACATACACTTCATATTTGAAAAAAATTCGTAAAAAATGTGTAAACCAAGGTATTATTTTCAATGGATTTTCATTGGTAAACTGAAAATTACGTTAACCAAGGCGTTCGTAAACTGAGGTACACCTGTACTATATATATATATATATATATATACAGTATATATACACACACACACGCACACTGTGTATATACTGTAAAATTTGGCTTGTGTGCTTGCTTATAGATGAGCACTATTATTATTATTATTATACAGGATTTATACAGCGCCAACAGTTTGTGCAGCGCTTTACAAAATGAAGGTAGACATTACAGTTACAATACAATTTAGTACAAGAGGAAACAGAGGGCCTTGCTCATTAGAGTTTATAATCTAGGAAGTCAATAACATTATATAATATTATAGATAATATAGTGTAGTCTATTACTACTGTAGAATATATTGTATGTATATTGCCTATTATTACTATTATTGTAGATTATCTATTATTATACAGGATTTATATAGCGCCAACAGTTTGCTCAGCGCTTTACAATCTATGAACCTTTTTATCATTGTATATCATTTTCTCTACACCACGGACCTAGGATACATCCGATTAAACGACTGAAATGACATTTTTACATTTTTAGTCAATCTCCTTCAAACACATACATCACTGCCTGTTTTCTTGTTTGTATTTCCTACTATTTGCTTCCTTTAATGACATTTTCCTTTTTTCCCCACAACTCTTTCTCTAGTTGTACACCAAAGTATTTATTAGTGGTAGGACATCGGAGGGGAGTGGGAGAAGAAGAAGAGAATATTACCAATTTTAGAATGATCGTGGTCACCCAAAATCCTGTGTGGACAGTGCTGATGATAGCTTGTCCCTTGTGATGCCATTTGTACCGTTTGTAGACATTTGTGGATTTGGCATGAAGAAATGTCTATGCTTGTGCACACAACGCCCTCTAGTGGCCACACATGTAGCAGAACAATTGAAGAGCAGGCTATAGAACTGATCAAAGATACAGTAGTGGTATGCTGATCAGGTTTATATTTGCAGTTGACCAGGGATCTAACTAGTGATCTATCGCATACTGCAAATTAATTTAATTAGTGTGACAGCCAGTAATTGCATTTCTAGCTCCTAATTCTGTAAGGCTCCATTCACACCCATACAGGTTGCTTTTTGTCTGTTTTGCAGTGCTTTTCGCAGTTAATTTTGCGTTTTTCTACACGTATTTTTGATGCATTTTTGACACTTTATGTTTTGTTCAGCTCTTTTTTTTTAAAGTGTATTTTTCTGCTGGGCAGAATGAAAATGCAAAATGGGGCAAAAACGCACTACCATGCATTTCAGCAGCTTCTCCATTGAACTCTATTGTAGCAAAAACACTGCTTTTTGCTTTTAAAAAAGTCCCTGACACTTTCCAAAAACGCAGCAGCTCAAAAAAGCATAGATGTGAACATGTTCCATAGGAAACCATGTTAAATGAACTGTAGTGCGTTTCTGCAAAAAGCACTAAAAAACTCATTGGTGTGAACGGAGCCTTAGTCAGCATACACTGTGATTACATGAGAAAATGAAGAATACGGCTGAGATCTGTGTCTGAGATTAACATGAGTTCTAGGCGAACCTTGTGCATTCTAGGTTTACTGACTCAGCAAACTAATGTGAAATTTTGCTGCAATTGTAACAACTACCTATCATACAGTTCCCGGTCTTTGAGCTTTGGTCAGATGACTTAGAAGGGCCAATAAGAGGGTACTTTGAAAAGCCGGTCCCCATACTATAAATGGTAAGTTATCACAGCAGCCATTCTGACATATGCTTAGCTGTGATAGGGAAAGCATAGGAAGTGCCGCTGATAAAGTGCATAGGGACAGATTAGTGTAGGGCACATGATGCAGATTTTTGCGAATATCCTGTAGGTAGCAAAATGCTTTGTCTCTTGGGGAATTTGAGGATGGGGGGGGGGGGGAAGGTTTTTACATCCTAATACTGCTGATATCACAGCTTGCCCTGTTCACATACATAACAGGCTGCATGTGTTTTTTTACAGGGCATATTTCCCTGTTTAATTTAATTGTTGTCTGCAATTGTTTTTTTCAGAGGCCTTTTTTATTATGGTGACAATAGGGGAATATTTATTTATTACAAGTACTTATATAGCACCATCAATTTACACAGCGCTTTACATATATGCTGTACATCCACATCAGTCCCTAACCCTCAAGGGGCATACAATCTAAGGTCCCTAACTTACATTCACACATACTAGGGCCAATTTAGATGGGAGCCAATTAACCTACCAGCATGTCTTTGGAGTGTTTGGGGAAACTGGAGTACACCCATGCAGGCACAAGGAGAACATGCAAACTCCAGGCAGGTGGTGCCATGGTTGGGATCAGGGGCGGACTGACAACTCATGGGGCCCCTGGGCAATAGGGGATCATGGGGCCCCTGTGTCCTTGCCCAAACTCAAAAAAGCCTATGAAAAAAGGTACCAGGAGCATCTCATGGGGCCCCCTACTGACCCCGGGCCCTCGGGCAGTGCCCGAGTTTTCAAATGGTCAGTCTGCCCCTGGTTGGGATTCAAACTGACAACCCAGGCAGAAGTGCTAACCATTTAGCCACTGTGCATGGGTAATGCATTTAGCTTCCTTTGAACAGATGCGTGACAGGGTGATTTATAGAGAAAACATGTGGGTCATCTCAAAACATTAAGTGCCTAAACAAGGACCTCTTTATCAGTTTCACTAGCTACTATTTCCATGAAAGTCAGCACTGGATTACTTGAAAGATCCCTTCTGTCACAAAAATCATAAAAATCCTAACTGTCAGCATTTTTTTTTAGGTTATATTCCTTTTTAGGTGCACATTGGGCCAATATCAGCCAGTGGTACATTCTTGACACCGCAGAGGTGCTGACATTTTTTGTGATTTCTCTTTACACCTGAAGATGACTCACCTCGCTCACCCAGCACTTACTTACATACCTTGAGGTTATTCAAAAAATGTATTGGGCCAAACACAGCCTAAAAGAAAAGAGGATTAGCAAGTGTATTTATACAATCAATAAGACAATAACATTATTCTGAAAGATATGGTTAAACACCTGCAGTATTCTAACTGACACTGGGTTCGCATATGTGCAGTGCGGTATATCGCATGTGATTCGCACAGGAACCGCACTGCATTCCTGCGCAAATCACATGCGATCTGTGTGTGGTGCGATCGGAGCCATACATTTTGTATGGCTCTAATTGCACCGCACCAAGAACGTTCACAACCTTTTTTTGGGTTCGCACTATGATCGAATCGCATGAGTATTCACACCTATGCGATCCGATTCTGCACATCGCACCACGATTTTGCGGACCGATTTGGGGTGTTGTTAACTTAACATACACACCCACAGCGATTTGCATGAATGGGGATGCGATTCTGATGCACTGCAGAATTCTCACTGAAAACTTTGCGTATTCCGCACCACATCAGTGTGAACCAGGGCTAACAGTAATTAACAGAAATGAACTACATTTACCTAGCAACAGTATATAAAGTCAGTCGTAACTTGTTATAACAGTCCCAGATTTATCCCCCTGGCCAGCGGTTAATGAAAACAAAATTGGAGCCCATAAAGCAGAACAGATATCCTTGTACAATGTAAGACTGACCATACATTTGACAATTTTCTTGTACAATTTTCCTATACATTTACCAGAACTATAAAATATGAGGTCAAACCTAAACACTCAATTTGTATGGAATCAGACAGACCCTTGCACTACATAGTTGAATGTAAATCTAAATGAAATTGTACAAGAAAATTGTATAAAATATAGCCAGCTTTAGTCTCTTACCAGACTCAGAGCACCCTTCTCTGGGTCTCTGGACATGTGCTCTGGTTCAGTTCAAGTCTTCAAACAGGGATAAGATTTACTGTGATGTCTCTCTTTCAGTCCTCCTAAGACATCCCTCCTTTCCTTTCTCACAAGCAGTAGGAGTGCTCTCCAATACAGTCTAATCTCACCATGCACCCATATCACACCTCACAATTTCCTAGGGAGGAAGTTACCAATTTCTGATGAAAAGTGAATAGTCTCTTCGCTTATCACGTTTTTTGTCAGCTATGGCAGGGTTCTGATCAGCCAGCAGCCCAGTCTTTTATTCAGACAGTTGCTTGCTTCCAACCAGTCTTCTTCTCTTTCCTCACCAGCTTGCAGACCCCTTCCCCATGCTCTGTTGTGTCAGTCAATCACCTCCAGGATCCAATCAGACCTAGTCAGGATAACTGGCCCCTGCACTGGAGACACCCCATAGATGAGCATTGCAAAGTGGTCTCCTTAAAGATGTCTACTGAATTTTTGCATTGATGAATATTCAGTTTAACCCTGTTCACACTGCAGAAGGATAATACAGCAGTAACAAAAGAAAAGGTTCTACAGCAGTTATGAGCCAAAGTCCAGGGTATACTTGTAAATGCTTTATTTACAGAATTGCAATCCATGCTCAGGTTTTGCTATGCCATGGCAGGGACAGCCTTACACTTGTAAGACAATGGAGTAGGTTAATGCAAAAAAAAAAAAAAAAAAAGCTCACAACAAACTATAATATTAAATAGCTGTAAACAATAGTAACAGATCCTGAGCCTACAAAAAGAGTGATAATAGTGAAGTCCATGATAAATACAAAATAATGAATTGTTCGTTAACCACTTGCCTGCCAGGCACTTTTACCCCCTTCCTGCCCAGGCCAATTTTCAGCTTTCAGCGCTGTCGCACTTTAAATGACAGTGGCGTGGTCATGCAACATTGTACCCAAACAAACTTTTTATCATTTTTTTGAGACAGATAGAGCTTTCTTTTGGTGGTATTTAATCACCACTGGGGTTTTTTTTTTTTTTGCTAAACAAACTAAAAAAGACAGAAAATTTTGAAAAACAAAAGTTTTTTCTTAGTTTCTGTTATAAAATTTTGTAAATAAGTAATTTTTCTCCTTCAATGATGTGCGCTAATGAGGCTGCAGTGATGGGCACTGATAGGTGGCACTCATAGGTGGCACTGATGGGCATTGACAGGCATCACTCATGGGCATTGACAGGCATCACTGATGGGCACTGAAAGGCAGCACTCATATTTGGCACTGGTAGGTGGCACTGGTAGGCGGCGGCACTGACTGGCTCTGATAGGCAGCACTGATTGGAACTTTTAGGCGGCATTAATTGGCACTGATAAGTGGCACTGATGGGCACTGATAGGCAGCACTGACTGGCACTGATAGGCGGCACTGACTGGCACTGATAGGTGGCACTGAAATGCAGCTCTGATGGACACTGATATGTGGCATTGATGTGCACTGATAGGCACTGATATGTGGCATTGATGGGCACTGCTATGTGTCATTGATGTGCACTTACAGGTGGCACTGATGGGGCTACACTGATCATCAGTGCCCTGATCATCAGTGTAGATGTCCCCTCTGAGGAATGTCGATTACCGGTTTTCCTCTCCTCACGAGCTGTCAGCGTGAGGAGAGGACTGCCGATAACCGCATTTCCTATTTACATGTGATCAGTTGTGATTGGACACAGCTGATCACATGACAGTGCTGACGTCATCGGCTCTTCGCAGTGATTGGTGATCCACTGTGTCCCATGGACACAGCGCACCACCAAACACCACGCCGTGCAGCCCTAAGGGACACATGCGCAGGTATTGCGAGGACAGGTATCCCAGTGCGAGAGAACCACCGCCCAGCCATCATTACCTTATATTGTAAAGGTACTGTTGGCGCTATATAATCCTGTATATAATATAATATGGTGGGTGGGAGGCTGTTAAACACTCTGGGGGAGATTTACTAAAACTAGAGAGTGCAAAATCTGGTGCAGCTCTGCATAGAAACCAATCAGCTTCAAGGTTTTATTGTCAAAGCTTAAAGCGGAGCTCCACCCAAAAGGGGATGTTCAGCTTTAATGACTGATTCCCGCTTCCTATGAGGAATTGGCACCTTTGGGGAGCGGGTACCCAATTTTCACAAGTACCCGCTCCCACTTCTGTTACAACCACCTAGGCAATCAGAAGCGGAAGTTGCCCCCCCCCCCCCCCCTCCCTGCAGTCTTGTGGGACATATGACAGGTCCCAGAAGACTATGGTACCATTCCCAAGATGCAGTGCTCCTCGGGCATGCACAGTGGGCACCTGTCTGTGAAGCCGCAAGCTGTCACAGCCGGGTGACCACACTTAGATGCCAGCGCCAGGGAGAGAGAGGGCTGGGTGTAAGCACACTGCTGGATCATAGGACTCCCACAGTATTATGCTTACATAACTTTAGTAATTAATAACCCAACCCCCCCCCCCCCCCATAAGGTGTTAGGTATTATGTTAAGATGTTATCACATCACTTGTCACTTATAAATCTTTGTCCCGCATTCTGGGATTATCATAGCACTTGTTAATTTGTGGTAATTTTGTCCTGCATTCTGGGATATATCACAGCACTTTTTATCTTGTGAAAATTTGTCCCACATTTTGGGATTCACAGATGTCACTGTCTCTTCACCAAATATTCTGGCATATTTAAAGCCTGTTGGTTACATTTTCTTGTGAGGATCTTGATCCCAATATACTGTAGGGGTTCACTTTTATTTTATACATATATTGTTTTCACATCATTTTTAGTCCATTTGGACTAGTTTCAGTTTCACTATTTTACATCATTGTGTTTATGCGTTTTTCACTTCTAGATCAGCTTAAGGATCATTTCACTTTATGATCATATTTATTCACCTTATTTATATTTGTATGATTTGTCACGTTTTAAGTGAGTTTCAATTTTGTTATTGGGTTTATATGATTGGTATTTAAGTTTATTTAGGGTAGCACTGAACCAATACATCAATTATCGTTTTCTTATTATACTCACATAACAATCACTTTTATCTACCCCCTTTTGCACATAAGGATATAGGCACTTTAAGTTGAAAAGGCTCACCAAAGATATATGACCCTCTTAAAAATAAGCACATCAAAAATACTCCCCACAGATTTGAACATTTTCTCTATAAACCTATGAACACAGGTGCTGTAAGAAAAGGAGAATCACCAGACTTATTTGACCCCATTATAGTAGGTGAGTTATAACTTACCAGGACATCCAGGTAAACCCCTCCACACTCCCAGGGCTTCTTCATGCAGAATGAGACCAGCACATCTCTAGATCAATCCCTCCAGTCCCCTGATTAAAGCCTGGATTCACTCTATGTGCAGTTCAGCTCTAACGAGTATTAAAAACAAAGATACTCTAAAAGTGTAGCACATTTTAAATTCAAAGTATTTTATTAAAATTGTACTTGCATAAAAACATATAGGAAAGTCCCTTTAAGACAGCTATAGCACTTCTGTGTGTTCATGCATGATGACTTCACTTCCACTCAATACGTTTTATCATTTGACTTCCTCAGTCAGTGCTTGCAGGGTCCATTACGTGCAGAATTTGCCCACATTGTGTTCCCTCACTTCTGCCCTTATGTCAACCTGAAAATAGCGGTATTTACCCCTGAGTCAACATAAATCAATAAGA